TGGACTTAATAACTAGTAGTTGTTAGTCAACCAAACTCTGTGCCTAATATAACCTGGATGGATGGGATACAGGATTATGGATTAGATAGCACATTCAGTTACGGTACTCAGACCGCTCAGTAGATACCGATACACCATCTAGGGTTCTGAGTAAGGTCTGAGACAAAACATGGCTGACGGTTTACCGTTAAGAGGCAACACAACAGGAACATCAACTATGGCTGGAGATCAACACGGCTACGCTTCCGCTATCATACGAGGTTAGGTTTCTCGTATACTATGGTACATATAGTTAGACTATTGTATATCTAACATGTATATATATATATATATATATATATATATATATATATATATATATATATATATATAATATACTAGTACAGTGCGTAATATATATATATATATATATATATATATATAATATACTAGTACAGTGCGTACTATATATGCTATAAATTATATATTTTATATATATATATATATATATATATATATATATATATATATATATATATATATATCTAGTACTATATTAGCTCATTAGTTATTAAACTCTAAAAAGAATTAATTATTAAATAGTAAGAGATAATTAATGCAAAATTATTATAAAGATGTACCTAAAATATGAGTAAAAAATATGCCCGTCAATCGGCATATAGTTTTGGTAGTTTTGTCATTAAGGGTGGAAAAAATTAAAATCGCACCCATTCCGTTTCCACCATTCAGTTTTGGTAAATTCATTATGCGTAAAAATTTAGCCCACAGGCAATTTTTATGGCATCCGAATTTATCTTTTGCATAATTTTACATTGGTAATATTATGTACCTCAGTATCTCTCTCTAATTTTTTGTGCCTCGAAAATTCTAACCAAGCATTAATTATTATTCTTTACAGCAACTCATCCTGTCACCCAAACACAAATTAATGTTCCAATCCTTAATGAAGATAACCACAAAGAGTGAAAAGATGATATTCTCTTGCAATTAAGATTATTAGAGTTGGATTACGCTGTTCTCAATGAGGAACCCCCTGAGGTTACTGAAGAAAGCACTGTCGAAGCCAAGCAGCTTCACGCACAATGGGAGAAATCCAATGGATTATGTGTGCTCTTTATTAAGTCAAGAATTTCCAGAAAATTCGTTTTTGCTTTGAGGACATTAATAAAGCGAAACCCTTGCTCAAAGCTATCGATGATAACTTCATTGAATCAAAGAAAGTTTTGGCAAGGACTATAATCATGAAGTTGAGAAATTTGCGTCTTTCCACTGTCAAGGGAACGCGTGAACACATTATGCAACTCAGGGATATTGCGGCTCAATTAAAGGAGTTGGAAATCATTCTACCAGATGATTATTTGGTGTTTTTTGCACTTGATACCCTCCCTCAGGAGTACAATCCTTTTAAGATTTCCTACATCACACAAAAAGTGGACTGGTCTATCAATGAATTGATAACCAGGTGTGCAATGGAGGAACAAAGGCTTGTGGCTAAGCTTGGGTGTGTTCCATCTTCTTTTGTTTGTTTCGAATCTAACATGTCAGAAGTTAATACTAATTCTTGGTGGGTTGACTCTGGTTCAACAATCCACATTGCAAACTCTTTGCAGGATATGACAAAACTGAGACAGACGTCGGGAACTGAGTGTAGCATCTTCTCTGGAAACAAGATTGCATCACCAGTAGAAGCTGTCGAAGTTTGCATTTTAGTTTTGGACAATGGTTTTGTAATGACGTTAGAAAAGACATTTTATGTTCCTAGTTTTTCTAGGAACTTAGTTTCAGTATCTAGACTTGTACCCTTCGGATATTCTTTTGAATTTAATACCAATAATATCAAGTTATTTCATTATTATACTTGTATTGGTACTGGTACATTGTCTAATGGTCTTTTCCGTCTTAAATTAAAGAATGATTCAGTTTACAATTCTTTACATGTTCAAAACGGCACCAAACGGTGTAGTATTAACGACAATTCCTCAATGTTGTGGCATCGGAGATTAGGTCATATCTCCCTTGAGCGTATTAAAAGGTTAGTAAAGGATGGAGTACATTTTACTCTAGACTATACTGACTTTGAGACTTGTGTTGACCGCATTAAGGGTAAGCAGACAAACAAGTCAAAGAAAGGTGCCAATAGAAGTTCAACGTTGTTGGAAATTATTCATACTGACATATGTTGTCCTGATATGACAATACCTGGTCGGAAATATTTCATCACCTTCATTGATGACTTCTCAAGATTTTCCTATGTGTATTTACTTCATCATAAACATGAAGCATTGGATGCCTTTAAATCTTTTAAAGTTGAAGTTGAAAACCAATGTAACAGGAAAATACACATAGTTAGGTCTGATATGGGTGGTGAATACTATGGTAGATACACTGAGAATGGACAAGCACCTGGTCCCTTTGCTAAGTTTCTTCAAGAGCATGGGATTGTTGCCCAATACACCATGCCTGGTTCTCCGGACCAAAATGGTGTAGCTGAAATAAGAAACCAGACTCTTCTGGATATGGTGCGGAGTATGCTTAGCAACTCTAAGCTTCCGAAGTCGTTGTGGGATGAAGCACTTAAGACGGCAACGTATATATTAAACCGTGTTCCAACCACGGCTATCCCTAAGACACCATTTGAGTTATTTAAAGGTTGGAAACCGAGTTTGCAACATATGCGTGTTTAGGGATGTCCGTCTGAGGTGAGGATATATAACCCACACGAGAAGAAACTTGACCCAAAGACGGTTAGTGCTTTCTTTATTCGATATGCACGATCTTCTAAGGGTTATAGGTTCTATTGTCCATCTCATACTACTAGGATAGTGGAATCAAGGAATGCTAAATTTCTTGAAGATGACTTGATTAGTGGGAGTGATCGGTTTAAGGACTTAGTTCCTTCCTTCGATCATACTGACTCTCAACCTTCTACGTTATCTGGTGGGGTTGTACTTATCCGCAGTGCTCTTTTAGTTCCGCCTGCAGATATACCACCTACTGTTGAGGTTCCACAAACTGTTGAGGATCAACCTTTGGAAGAACCAGTCCAGGACTTACAGCAACCGCCTGAACTAGTTTTCGAACCAATGGTTGAACCAACTCAGGATATACAGCAAGATTCTGAGCCGATGCAGACTGAACCAATTCAAGAACTGCCACAAGTTCCTGAAGAGGTAGTTGACCTACAGCCTGTGCAAGGCGGTGGAGGTCCAACCTTAAGACGGTTTACTTGGATAAGGCGATCAGCAGTTCCTAGTTATTATGTTTCGTATCTACAAGAATCTAACATAGGGGCCAAAAATGATCCTGAACATTCTCGCCACAAATTGTGCACAGTCTGACTTATGGTTGGAAGCCATGAAAGATGAAATGAATTCCATGAAGGACAATGGAGTTTGGGATCTTGCTGAGTTGCCTAATGGGGCCAAGGCCGTTGGTTGTAAATGGGTCTTTAAGGCTAAAAGAAACTCATTAGGCAACATTAAGAGATACAAGGCCCGGCTTGTTGCCAAGGGATTTACTAAAAAAAAAAAAAGAAGGAATCGATTACAAGGAGACATTTTCTCCTGTATCAAAGAAAGGTTCATTTCGGGTCATTCTGGCATTAGTTGCACATTTCAATCTTGAGTTGCAACAAATGGATGTGAAAACCGCTTTCCTAAATGGTGATCTAGAAGAGGAGGTTTATATGAAACAACCTGAAGGTTTCTCTTCTAGGAGTGGTGAGCATTTAGTATGTAAGCGTATGAAACAAGCCTCCCGTCAATGGTACATCAAATTCGATGGGGTAATTTCTTCATTTGGTTTTGTTGAAAATCCCTCAGATAACTGTATATACCAAAAGGTGAGTGGGAGTAAAATTTGTTTACTTATTTTATATGTGGATGACATCTTACTTGCCACCAATACAGTCCGGGGTTAGACTATTGGTAAGCTGTAAAGAGGGTTCTAAGGTATCTAAGATGAACCAAAGGTTACAAGCTTGGGTTTAGGCAGACGGACAATTTAGATGTTGTCGGTTATTCAGACGCGGACATCGCTGGCTGTGTTGATTCTCCAAATCAACTTCATGGTGCGTCTTTATTATGGCCAGTGGGGCTATCTCATGGAGAAGTGTTAAACAGTCCGTAATAGCTACTTCTACCATGGAAGCCGAGTTCGTTTTCAGTTTCGAGGCAACTTCATAGGGTGTTTGGCTAAAGAATTTTATCTCTGGGCTTAGAATTATGGATTCTATATCTAAGCCATTGAAAGTCTACTGTGACAACTCAGCTGCAGTCTTCCTAGCTAAGACCACAATAGTGGGAGTCAAATTAAGTACATCGACATCAAGTTCTTAGAAATTAGGAATCGTGTCAAAAATAAAATTGTATTTATTGAACACATTCATACTGGGTTGGTGTTAGCAGATCCCTTGACTAAATGCATGCCTTCAGTTAAATTCAAGGATATGGTTCAGAAAATGGGACTTTCATACTTTGTGATTTGTATATACATTCAGTTTCAATAAAATTCTTTGGCATTCAGACATTTTTCTCAATTAAGTGTGTACACCTTCATTTGCTTCATATTGATGAGAAAATGTACTTCAGGGACTTGGAATAAACATAAGGTTTATTTCGTTGGGTTTTGTTTCCTAATTAAGTGCCCAATGGTAGTTTGCATTTGATCATAATGGATACCCCTCGTGCTAATGAGAACATATCATTATGGTTGGTGTTTTTCTGTTATTGAGTGGTAGTGCTTGCACCAAGTGGGAGAATGTAATGTTTATCCGTTACTATTATTATAACATTAGGATAAGTTATGATAATATTCAGTATTTGATATGTGGTGCAACACTAATAACCTAATAGCTAGACTACCATTATGATTAGGAGTCTAGTTAGGGTTTAGGAGACCTAAAGACAATCAACCACAATGATGGCCAGTGGTTATATAAGGTCACTAGTCCTCTCACTGCTCACGATACATACCTCATACACCATCTAGAGAGAGCTGAGTAAGGTGAGAGACAAAATACTCGTTATCTCTGCAGCAGTCTGGATCGCTCAACCGTATCAGAAACTATGGCTGGAGGTTAGTCGATCTTGTAATCACATATTATATGATGCATGTGATATTTTAGTCTAACAATGGATCCCCCATCAACATATCAAATAAAATTTCTATGCAATATATAATATATACTTTTGTTTATTTTATTTTTCATATAGTTATATTGAAATATATTTTGTTGTTAGTTTATTATTTTAATTTTCTTATTGTGATCATCTTCTTGTGAGTCACCCTCTCAAATTTTGAAAAGAGTAAGTGGAGGGGTGACCTACATCATGATTTTCTACTTGAAATACTTAAATATAAATTTTACAAAAGTATTTATATTTAATATGATATTGAGTATATACAATTTGAAATCTTGAGTAGAACTTGAAAATAATAAACACTTCGATTTCCACATACATTATTGTGTTTGTTAGGCGGATGACTTAGATGTATCAACAGCCAAACAAATTCTGATTGCTTGCTCGACACCATGGTTCAATGTCGTAGCAGCAGATGCGTCTTCTTTCAAATCTTTGAGTGCATTAGTGCAGTCTTCAAGGCTGGTTAGTGCTGCTGAGAGTTGGAAGTTCAACTTACCATCCTCATTCCCCTTCTTAGCTGTCTCCATGCTCTCCTTCAATCTGATACAAATTATATATATATTGGTCATCAGCTTTGGTCGACCCTAACTGTAGAAGACACCTTTAAACCCGTACCATACTCAGAATAATCATCATTCGAACCGGGCCAACCCAATTAAGGGGTAAAGTGCTGACCGCAAATTATGCTGTGGAAACGTGTTCACCATGCGCATGGTAAACACAGGATAGATCCATAATTTCTACGCTGTAGAAATTATAAATCTACTGTATAGAAATTATGGATGTACTCATAACACGGTGAACACGGTTCCACAGCATAACTATTGAGTGCTGACCAGATTGGTTTTTTCATAGTTCGAACTCCCGACTTCGAGTACACGGCTAGCCTCTTTTGATTTGCATGCATGCAATGCATATTAATTAATTGATAAAGATACTTACTTGTCTTCTGTGTCTTTGTAGGCCTCTTGGCAATTGGGATTTCCTGACTTACTGGTCTTTGCTAGTTCACTCTGAGCCTCAGTTATGGCATTGGTTATTGCCTGGTTCCAGTTTGGTGCTCCCTTCACCATCTTCTCACAAAGCTGTTTGTCAATGGCGGTGGCACAGAAGTTGTTAGCGGCATCAGCATGGAAGGTTAGATAGACAACAGACAATAATGCCACAATGCATCTCTTCAAACCCACCATCCTTAGTTGTGATTTGCTTCACAAAAAGATTTATTATTATTATTTTTTTGTTCTTGATGTTCAAGATTTCATTGTCTGGAATGAAAGATGCTGGGAGGAGATAAAATATATGTATGCAAAAGAGAAATTGAAGGATGTTCTCAAGATACTATGCAGTTAGCCCCTTTTTCCTCATAATATGTATTGAAAATTTCAAGCTAAAACTCTAATGATTGTTAGCCACAAAACTTAATTTATTGTTAATAAATCGATATAAAGATACACGGAGTAAATAACTAAACAAAATTTCTATGTGATATATATATATATATATATATATATATATATATATATATGTGTGTGTGTGTGTGTGTGTGTGTGTGTGTGTGTGTGTGTGTGTGTGTGTGTGTGTGTGTGTGTGTGTGTGTGTGTAATAGACTCTTGTTTATTTTGATTTTATATAGTTACATGAAATATATTTTGTTGTTAGTCTCTTTAGGTTGGAACATTTTATTATTAAGAAGGGGAATGTACAAATAGACCATCGATGAGAAATAGCAATTAAGTCATCAAATTTGGAAAAACTCCAAATCAATACACGAACTTGAAAAAACGTTACAATTAGCATTTTTAACAAGTAAATGTCCAGTTCCCTCGACTCTTATATTACTAGTCTACCAGGACTCTACAAGTTTAATAGGACTCTCTTTCTATCTTCCAATATTATCATTGTACAGACTTGTATTACATTGATTACTGAATTCCAATCCTCATCTGGTATCAGTTGTTTCCAGGTCTTTTATCACTTTTTTTCATGGCAGCCTTGGGTACGAATGATGACGGCTCTGTTCGTGATTCTTCCGAACGTACTGTTATCGAGGCTGCTCCTGCCCCCGTTTTCCCAAACAATATCCTTTCCTCCGCACACCACTTTGTTTCCCTTAAACTCACCGCGTGTAATTATGTATTTTGGAGGACACAGATGCTCTCGTTATTGGAGGGTCAGGGTTTGCTCGGTTTCGTCGACGACACCTATCCTTCTCCGGCGGTCACTGCGTCGGCGGCTTCGACGGCGGACAGTGGTGGCGCGGACCCGGTAGCGTCCTCTCTGCAGGTTCAGTGGCGTCGGGAGGATCGGGCAATCCTGTCTCTTCTAATTTCCTCGCTCTCCGATGAGATGATACCCTTGGCGGTTGGTCGGTCGTCGTCACGAGCGTTGTGGTTGGCGATAGAACAGTTGCTGGGTTCAGCGACTCAGTCCCGTACTCTGCGTCTGCTCAGCAAGTTGCAGGGTTTGGCACAAGGCAGCTCCTCCGTCTCAGATTATCTTTACCGTGTGCAGATGTTGGTGGAGGACTTTGCATTTACCGGACGTCCTGTGACACTCGACGATCAGAAGCTGTATGTTTTCCGTAGCTTGCGGCCGGAGCTTCGTCCACTGGTGGCTCCATTGACGTGCAGTTCTCCGGTCACTTTGACGGAGTTGGTTGACTATTTAGTCTCGCAGGAGTTCATTTGTGCCGGTGGAGGTGACTTTGGTGCACCGGCTGCTATGGTGGTTCGTCGTGGTCGTGGTAGTCGCGACGGGAACGGTCAGTCTTGCGGCGGTGGTGGCTCGAGCAATGGTGGTCGCGGACGTGGAGGTCGGGGGCGTGGTCGTGGTCGCTCCCGTCTAATATCCAGTGTCAGATATGTAATGGTCAGGGACATTCTGCTCTAACGTGTTATAGCAGGGTTTCTGAGTCGCCGAGACCTCAGGCGCATATGGCTTATTCAGCAGATGATGGTGACTCGGTTGGCTCTCATAAGTGGTTTCCTGACACCAGGGCTGCGAACCATGCTACTTCTAACCCTACTATGTTGTCTTCGACTGGCAGTTATGACGGTTCTGACACTCTGAGAGTCGGCGATACTTAATGTTGGCTCTGCGTCGATAGCCTCTTCCTCTAAATTGTTCAAGTTAAATGATGTTTTACATGTTCTCGGTCTGTCCTCTTCTTTGTTGTCTATTTAGAAATTCGCTAAAGATAATTGTGTCTTTTTTGAGTTTCACCCTACCTCTTTCTTTGTGAAGGACCTTTTGACCAGGGAGGTTCTTTATAGGGGGAGTGCTTCGGGGAGTTTATACACCTAGCCCACGTCGCGCTCTAGTCCGTCTTCTCATGTTGCTACACATGCATCGTCTTCCGTTTGGCACATGCGGCTTGGTCACCCACACACGCGAGTTTTGCGTCAAATTTTGCAATCTTCTAATGTTGTTTTGTTTAATTCTAGTGAATTGTCGAACATCTGTTCAATGTGTCAGTTAGGGAAGTCTTCCTGTTTTTCTTTACCCCGTGTTGTTACTTCCAGTACTCGTGTTTTAGAGTTAATATACACTGATATTTGGGGCCCTGCGCCATTACATTCTGTGAATGGTTATCATTATTTCGTATTGTTTGTGGATGATTATACGCGTTTTATATGGTTTTATCCTATGCGTGCGAAAACGGATATTTGTTCTATCTTTGAATTGTTTCAGTCACAAGTTGAGCGTTCTTTTTCTCAAAAAATAGCTTCTGTTCAGTCTGATTTAGGGGGGAATACAAAAAGCTCCATTCACTTTTGTGTCTCTAGGTATTCGTCACAGGCAGTCCTGTGCGTATACACATGAGCAGAACGGTCGGTGTTAGGAATAAAGTGTAATAGTTTTGATATGCCAAGTTTGTATTTGTAGAACCCCCAATTTTATTTGTTTAGGTCTAGTAGAGTCTTGGACTATGATCGGGAAATTATTAATTAAGAAGCAAAAGAGAAAAACAGAAGAGGAAGATGTATGAAAAATGGAAGAAGCATAAAATCAAGAATTTGTCTGGTGAAAATGACAAATCAAAGAAGAAGATGTAGGATATGAACTTCACGTCGATACCTTACACAGAAAGAACTCCTAGAAGAATTTTTGTTGAAGAAAATCAAGATTTGAAGTTTGCATGAATTTGACTTGATGATCAAGCATCTATGGAAATAAAAGAGTGCATCAAAGAAGATTGGAGATGTAAACTGAATGACTGTATAGATGAGTTGGAAAATGCCTGATATATTATACCCAATGGCTCAAGTTTGAATCTCACTATTTATAATTTTACCTTAGCCAGATGGAGTTGGGCGCTAAGTGGCTTTGGGAGCCAATTTCGAAGCAATTGAAATTATTAGGACTATGTTATCTATATTAGACTAGGACTATATTATTCGTGTTAGACTAGGATTCTATCTAGTATCTATATATTCGCTCTCTGTACTCTCAGACATTATGATTGAATACAACACAATCTATATTCTCATCTGGTATCAGTTTCCAGGTTGTCTCTCATGGAGCTAGGGTTTAGTGCTTAAGAGTGTCGCTAATTACAATTGTTGGTTGATGTGGTTCCATAATTACAATGAGCACTTGTTCGGCGGCGACGGAACCGTGTCAAATTTGTAAAGGTTTCGGTCACACGGGAGCTAATTGTTTATGGTGCTATGATGAACCGTGTCAAATTTGTAAAAGTTTCGGTCACACGTGAGCCAATTGATTTTGGCGCTATGATGATCCGTGTCAAATTTGTAAATGTTTTGGTCACACGGGAGCCAATTGTTTAGGGTGATATTCAGGGGCTCCAGGTTCTCAGCATTTTTCACCCTCCCCGCCTCCTCAGGCGAATGTAGCCGTTTCTGGGGATGACTCGGGTGGTCCACATGAGTGGTTTCCTGATACTGGTGCTACCAAGCATGCTACGCCGGATCCTTCTTTGTTGACCTCTACGACGGGTTATGATGGCCCTGAGACTCTTCGTGTTGAGTGGTACATGTTTGCCTATTGTTAATGTTGGTTTAGCTTCGTTAGCCACTAATTCTAGGTCTTTTAAGTAAAATAATGTTTTGCATGTTCCTGATCTTTCTAGTTCATTATTATTTGTCCAGCGTTTTGCCAAAGATAATAATGTTTTCTTTGAGTTTCACCCACTTTGTTTCTTTGTGAAAGACATTTTGACCAAGAAAGTCCTATTTAAAGGGCATGCATCTGATGGCCTGTACTCCTGGCCTGCGTCCTTTCCTGCTCCAGCTGCATTTGTTGTTGCGCGTTCCTCTTTTGTCTGGCATATGCAGTTGGGGCATCCGCACACTCGAGTCTTACGCAAAATTTTAAAGTCTTCGTCTGTAAGTACTTTTAATTCGAAAGATCTTCCCAATGTTTGTTCCTCTTGTCAATTGAGAAAATCATCTCGCTTTCCATTATCTCATGTTGAAACTACAAGTACACATCCTTTAGAATTAATATATTATGATATTTGGGGCCCTGCGCCGTTACTTTCTGCGAATGGCTTTAAATATTTTGTGTTGTTTGTGGATGATTACACATGGTATATATGGTATTATCCGATGCATGCCAAATCTGAATTATATGGCATATTTGATAAGTTTTAGTCACTTGTTGAACGTTGTTTTTCTCGCAAGTTTATTTCTTTTCAATCTGATTTAGGGGGAGAATATAAGAAGCTTGGTTCCACCTTTCTTCTCTAGGTATTCGTCACAGGCAATCTTGTGCCTATACTCATGAACAAAATGGACGGGTGGAGCGCAGGCATTGTCATGTTGTTGAGACAGGACTGTCCTTAATGGCTCAAGCATTTGTTCATTCTCGTTTTTAGGACTATGCTTTAAGATTGTTGTCTATCTTATAAATAAAATGCCCACTCGTGTTTTGTCTGATGAGTCACCACACTTTCGTTTGCATCGTTCTCCCCCATCCTACTCTTACTTGCGGGTATTTGGTTGTTTGTGCTTTCCTGTTTTGCGTCCATATAATCGAAATAGGCTACAATTTCATTCATCTCCGTGTGTCTTTCTGGGTTACCCCCTGTCTTATCGTAGCTATCGTTGTTTAGATACTAACACTAACAAGGTCTTTATCTTTCGCCATGTGCGGTTCGATGAGGCTGTGTTTCCTTTTGTTTCTCCTATTGCCTCGCAGGTTCCTAAGCCACGGTCCGAAACGGGGGGCACCGCACCGGTTGTGACGAGCCGAGGGAATGATGTCTCGGCCACCTTTGTTGATGGCACTCG